TTCTTTTTTTTTTTTTTTTTTTTTTTCTCTCTTCCCTTTTCGTTGTTTGGTTGGTTGGGGATAGGGATTCATATGCTCAGTTATGAACTAGAAGTAGTGCTCACTTTACACAAAGATTCTCAGGTTTGTGGTGCTTCTTTGGTATTAGTGTCATCTCACGAAAGATTTAACCCAGCACATAAGGAAACCAAAGGAATAATGTCAGTAAACTCTAGGATTTTAATGGTCGAATTTGATATCATGGAGATTATTCCTATGCTGAAAATAGCTAGAAGATGTCCGTCTTTTCCATCGTAGGTTCTTCAGAAGATCTTTTAATCATGTAAGATATGCTAAACATCATCTAAAACGTAAACAGGAATAGTAAGTCAATGTAACTTCATATTCGCCCACCTAAAAACTAAAAGGCTTAGATAAACTAACCCTCAAAAAATCCTAGTCGGAGAAGGCTTGAGAATGCTAATCAGCGAATGGTTGATATAAAACTTTACATCATGAATTTGAAGTCTTGTTTTCTATCAACAAAATGCAAAAATGAGCCCTGTACTTCATCACTTTGCTAGTACACACTTCATCCAATTTCTGAATCCTCTTCTAGCCCTCAAATTTAATGACCAGTCCCACTTCATCCTTCCATCTACGTCAACTATTATTTATGAGCAGACAAGATTTATCCACTGGCAACATTTTTCTTCGATTAAAAGCACATTCGTCCCCTTTCTTCAATTTCAACTAGCTAGGTTCATGTTAACTACAGATAAGAAGGTAAGTTTTACAGAATTACTTGATAAGAACATAATAACTCTTGTTCTTGAAAGCCAATGGCAGAAGTAAGATTTTGAAACAAAATTTTTATGACCTTGAAAATTAAGTTTCATTTTCTTTTTAATAACATTAACCGAGTGGAAAAGAACTCGCGCTTGAAAACAAGTGGTCTCCCCCCTTAACATTAAGTGCTCTGCTCACCGCCTGTACTAGATCAAACTTTTATGAACGCTCAGTGCTCACCATAATTTCTAGGGTTCACGGAGAAACTCAATGAAGGCAGCATTTATCGCTATAGTGAGTTCAATTCTAGGACGAATTAAATGCCACATTCACGGCCTAGATTCGAGTCTCCCAATTCTATATGAAGAACCCCAACCTACATCGTTATTTGTTTACTTAAATCATACTCTTATCTTTCTAAGTTTCAAAGAAAATGCAAGTAAAACCAACGCAATAATAACAGTTAAGCACAACTTAATCGGTATTCCTTAAAGAAATTTCATGATAATAAAACTTGAACTGAATTTGAAAATGTCGGAAGAGGAGGATCAAACCTTTAGCATTGGGAGCTTCTGTTCTTTCGATCTTAGAAACAGGAGGCCGAAGCTCCACGATTTCCCGCTGGAATTGGCAATATAAACGCGCGGTTCTGAACCTAACGCAGACGATCATTGCCAGATTCCAAATCGTCAATTAAAATACTCAATTATTTGGCGGTACTTATTTTACTTTTTAAAATGAATTTCGAGAAATTGTAAAGTTTTTCCATATTTTCATAGACAATTATGTAAGTTGCCTCTAAGACCAAAAAGGTAATTTAATGAAATAAAGAAATAAATAAATAGTTATTTAAAAATAAAAATAAAAATGAAAAAGAGAAAAGGAAAAAACAATGAAGCCGTTTGACTATGGTACCAATTAACCGCACTGCCCCTCGCCTCGGCTGATTCTCTTGCACAGAGACGACAGACGAGCGAGTAATGAGCGACCTCTCCATTGCAGCTCCCACCGTAAAACACCACCATTACACCGCTTGCAACCCCATTCCCTCCGCCGCCCTCTACATTCTCATACCCCTTTTCATTTTGGGATTTTCCGTCTCCATTTTCGTCCTCGCGGTGGTTCACAACGCCTTCTTCTTCGTCTCTATCCTCCTTCTAGCCATCTTTCTCTCTGCTTTCGCCCTCTGGAATAGCCTCTACTTCTCCTCCAAAGCTGCAATGCTCTCATTTCTTCACTCTTTTCCCGACTCCGACCTCACACTTGCCTGCGAAGGTCAACTCGTTAAGATTACAGGGGTATTCCTTCTCTAATTTATTTCTTCTCCCTTTTCAGCTTAATGGGTTATCAGATTTTCGTGAGTAGGTTGTATTTTCTCTTTTCAATAGCCACCGCTCATGGGTGTGATTTGTTTCTGCATATTTTTGTTTTCCCTTTCAGCAATTCGTATGGGAGGTTCTGAAAACGTTTCCGTTGAGTTGATAATTGTAAAATGTTTGCTTCTGACATTTACATAGTTGATGTTAGCTGTTTGGGATTTCATTTATTGTTGTTCTTAAGTACCCTGCAGATGAATTGGAGGATTAATGTTGTTGTTTGCTGTTTCATATTCAGTTTGCTTCGTGCGGGAGTGTCTCCCTTGAATCATCCTATGAAAAGGCTAGTGGGTGTATTTATGCTTCTACTTCTCTATATGAATATAGAGGAATGTCTCTGGTTTTTCAAAAGGTCACCCAACCTTACTGTGGTTGGAAGTTAGCATACAGTGAGGTATGCAAATTCCACTCCCAACAAACGTTTCGTTTCTTTGTTTCTATTGTTTTCTTGCGACAATGTCACTTTATGTTGTTTGGAAGCTACTGCATGAAGTGAAAGAACTGTCATTTAGCTCCATTTTTTCTTTATGGTTCAAATGTCCCCAGTTGTATTCATTATCTTGACATCCTTATCTGCTCATTTTGGGATTTTTATTTGACCTTGATATCAGTTTTTGTTATGATGGGTATGTGTTTAAGATTATTAATACCGCAGTGCTGGTATTTCTACCTGGCAGAGGTTCTCCACGGATTTCTACATAACTGATAGAAAAAGTGGTATTAGAGCTATGGTTCAGGCTGGCCCAGGTAGTAAACTGGTTCCTCTTATTATTGAGAGCAAGCTTGTTAATACTACCAGACACCGTAAGATTCTGTCTTCTTCCTTGAGAAAATGGCTGAGAGACCGAAACCTTTCTACCGAAGCTCAAATGCTTCGACTTGAAGAGGGGTAACCGCTTGTCGTGATAGCACCTGTTTGTTTGACTATGTTTGGCCGTAATTTCAGTAGCTAATTCCATGTGATTTTAGCAGATATGTTCAGGAAGGGAGCTTGGTGTCTGTAATGGGAATGTTGCATAAGAGCAACGGTCATTTAACAGTAGTTCAACCTCCAGATGCAATCTCTACCGGATGTTCATGGCGGAAACTTCTTCTTCCCATTGATATTGATGGGCTAATCCTTGGGGTCTCACAGACGTCCGGCCCTTCGCTCGTTCGGGGATCGTTATGTCAGCAAGAACAGTTGGCTGATATATGAGGCTTGAACAGTATGTTGTAGATTGAAATTTTAATCTTCCTAACCTTTTGCTTATCACTAGTAATTTTGATCTTCTTTCAGTTCATCTATCTCTGCGCCTTTCGTTTCCAGGGCTACATTTGTTCGTGTCCGTAGGTTTCAGCCTTCACTGCTTTAATCAGCTAAAACTATAGATCATCTTAGGACTTAAAACGAGAAATAAGTATTTTAGAATAATCATGAATATTCATTTAAAAAGTTGAGAAAAAAAATAAACAATGTTACTCCTACAAAAATGACAAAGCGGGTTCGAGAAAAAATTTCATAGATGTGTTTCATATCGAAAATATATAGATAGTTCAATTATACTAATTAAAATATTAATCTATACATAGTTTAGTAGATTGATTTCTCAAAGGTTGATGGCTGCAAGTGAGAATGAGCCCATTTTAGACAACCCATTATTTCAACTTCATTGAACCTGATATATCTGGTGAGTTGAATATTGTAGAACAAAAGACAGAAAACAGGATAAGGAATGAAGAAGAGGCAAATGAAAACTCCCTTCTCAGATATTAGCAAGAAGGCTGTGGCTGAGAAACCTAGATAGATAACAAAGAATGTCTTCAACAGAACATGATAGAATGTCTACTACACAGCTCTGGCTTATTGCAAAACTCAAGGCATCTATGGTTGGACAAATTTCGCTTACTGTTTCTTGCCATAGTATTGCATATAATATGCAATACCCAAAATCAGCAGGGGAATCAGAACTTGCAATACTTTTTTCAAAGATCCTGGAGATTCAGCTGACGACGTTGTTGTTGTTGTTGGTGCTGCTGCTTTTGGTTCTGCTGCTGCCGTTGGTTTTGCTGCTGCTGTTGTCGCTGTCCCCGATTGGGGTGCTGGTGGTCGATTGGCAACTGCCTTTGGAAGGGTAGACATGTCCACATTACCAACATAATATTCTTCCATTTGCTCCGACGCAGTTAAACTGTGACCCACTTCTTCGAAATCATCAGTGGCATCTCTTTCTGCACACATTCAAGATTGTTTCTCCAATCATTCATAACGTGGTGTGATCATTTTTGTTGGATATCTTCAAATAGAAACAAGTAATCAAGTTGGACTTACCAGTAGCTAACAGCAAGACTTCATCACCTCCAGGATGATCTTCTAGAAGGGAGGTGACATCATACACCTAACATGGATCACAAAAACTACTTTGGGGAAAGGCAACGAAACACAACAACAATATAAAGGAAGAGGATAGAAAAAATACAAATCTTATCACCCAAATTGAAGGTGTCTTATTTTAGGTATATCTAGGAGAAGAATACAGAGATAACTGATAGTACACATAATCTGTTATTCCCAGGACTAAGATTTTGCACGGTTTTGTGGTTGAATTAGTGAATTTCACGAGCATGGTTGTTTAAATTGTAAATTTCGAGCAAATGGACCGAAAAGGAATGTTTGAGGCCAAATCGGTGTTTAAAGGGAGAGAAAATGTGATTAAGTGAGGAAATCAAATCTCCTTCCTATGTTGTTAAACGTAAAAGAAGTTTGAGGCCTAAAATTCTTCTTTGATGAAAGTTGGAGCTTAGATTCATTGCAAACTACAATACCAGAGTTTTTCCTCTTGAACAATTCCACGAAATACGTCTCACACATGCATAGGATTTATGTTTTAATCCTCAACAACTGATTTCACATCAGAAGAAAAGATGAAGAACAAGTTCCTGTCATTTCTCGAGTAATGAGTTCAAAGATTGTTAGGAGAAAGATCAAGAAACTAATAGGCTTAATCTCATTTAAGTCTACTGTTCCATTGGCAAATACGATTTGAGTTCTGAACAAACAATTTCACAAAATGAAGATTAGAAGAGAGATTGTTAAATCAGACCTTTCCAGAGATTATAACCCAACAATCCTGCTGGTTATTGTGTTTAGCCACTTCATCGAAGACGAAAACCTTAGGATCCGAAGCCATTTCCGAAACAATCAACTGAAAATAAAAATGAAGCTCAATCCACAATGAAGCAGTCGATTAAATTAGAGAATGAGAGGAATCAAACACGGAAGAACCGAGGAAGAATGTGGGGTTACTTACAGAATGAACGTTGAAGGAAATTGGAGAAACAGCCCAAATCAGCACGGTTTCTTCTCCATTGACTACCACTACCAGCCATTTCTTGCGACTTTTATCTGGCCGGTTTCGCTGGCTAAATGACACCCCGCGAATGGATTTGTTTTCTTGCAACAATTTCACTTCAGTCCCTGTTTTCATATATTTTTACCAAGTTCACCCCAAAATTTTCCTTAATTTCGGAGCCCGCGTCGTGCATGATTAAAACGTGTATCTGCATTATTCTGATTAGGCCACGCGTTTTTTTTTTTTTTTTTTTTTTTTTTTTTTTTTTTTTTTTTTTTTTTTTCTCTTTT